TTGTTGATCTCTGAGATCAACAGCTTTGAAATGCTCAGAAATTGCAAAACAGACACCTGACATTTACCAACACTCCTTCGTCAGAATAGCATCTTGTTTACTGTTTCATGCATTCTCGAGTAAGCAAAGACTTGTTTCAATTGTAACTCTGCCTCCCATAAGGGGACGACTAACGTATGTACAGAAACTGTCATGAATGAGGAGCAGTCACCCAGAACCCTCAAAGAGTGGGAATTTTTAGCTCTAGATTTTAAAAGAAGGTGATAAACCCAAATCATATATTTAATTAAGTGTAGAAATACGATTATACAATGCTATGCAATTGAGAGCTAATTTTCAGAATGATCACTTGGATCCCTTAAGTATTAATCATCCAAGAAAGGGACGTCAATGTTGGCCATACTCTTATCAAGTCAGAAAAATGGTTTAATCTGTTTAGAAATGTATTCAAGAAAAAGTAGATCTAGAGGAATTTGTGATTACCATTTGTCAAAATAATATATATTTTAAAATAAGTATCTCTCTACATAGTATATAAATATGTAACATATAACATATTACATGTTACATAGAACTATATCATATACATGTTACATATGTTGTATGTAATACTATGTTATACATGTGTAACATAAAATAATAGCTATATACTTTTAGATGCGTTAATATATGTTTATGTTTATATGCTGTATATAAATATATACGTATTTAAATATACACATACACACACACACCCTGACTCAATGTGGGTTAGAATTTTGTCTTAGCGAGTCCTCTCTCTTTTGGCTTTGCACATGGTAGGTGCTCATGACTGGCATATTGTAGGAATTGTTGAGTTAACGTGCTAAGAATGAAGGAGGAGCTGAGTTTAAGGAGCCAAGCCTTTAATTTTCAGCACTGACTTTGATATTTTTTCTTGCAGGAGAAGATGGAGAGGGAGCCCCGGGCTGCTCATCATTGTTACTGACTCCAGCTAGGCTGTTACTAAACTCTTCTAAAATGCAGAGTCTAAACAGAATTAATAAATTTGCAAACACAGTCCAAAGGAAGGAGAACAAAAGAGGGAATCACCACCCCAGCAGCTGAAATTCCCACGGGGAAGACATGTTCCCCTGATCTTGAACCCTGAGTTAAATGTCTGCCCTAGACAGGGACGGACTCGGTGTGAGCAGTTTGTCAAAGCTCAAGGGTGGGTGTCCTTTTCTGTTTCTTTGGTACACTCGGCTTGGGAAAGCGCTCACACAATGTGAGGGTGGGCAGGGTTGAAATCATAACATGGCTCTTATTCATACCACATTGGCCATAGGAACACTACAATTAGGCATAAAATTTTATTCCTCTGGTAATATACTCCAAGCCTTAAAAAGAACCAGGGAAGAAAGGAATTTCCCTTAGAAAAAAAGGAAAAAAGAAAACCAGTTCCTCCTGAAGATAAACAGCACAGCACCATTCCAGCAACTATCACCATTAACTCCAAACCACAGGATATGAAGCCAACATAGATTTGAATCGAGAAAATACAAACAGGTATGAGCTCTCACATTGACCACTGAGAAATCAGAAGCCCATTCTCAGTGTAATACATCCGGCTGCTCTATGTGTCCAAGGTGCAAGTGATGACTGTTTCCCGGGGAAGCCAGCAAGTCTGTCTGCAGCAAAGGCTTATACGGATGGAGCTACAGCCAATTGCCATTAGCACATGCACCAGGACAATTTCATTCTTGCCATCCCTTAGCCTAATAATGATTTCCCCCTCTTTCCTGCAACTGGTGATGAGCAATACTTTCCACGACCCAGACAACAAACAGCTGGATGGATGCCAAAGGACCATACATCCGTGGTCTACCATGCCCTTTCTAATCAACTTCCTAATTAAAAAATGCCATGCTGGCATGAAGTATGAAGGGAGGAGGCTTGAGATATTTCAGAAAACAGCATCCCCTAATCCTGAGGTTGTTGAAAATCTGTGTTCTTACAGATGTTTATGAGTTTTCCTGGTGCAGAGATAGGATCAATTTGCTTGCGCCTGGCCCTCAAGATGTATTAAATTTATCCTGAAGGAAACTCGTTTCTGAAAAGCTCTTGCCCAGATGCATTAGGCAGGTGGGAGTTCCAGTGAACCAGAGGGTCCACTAGCAGATGCAGCATTGATTTCTGAATGTTCACAATCTAGCAGACAGCTCCAGAGCAGACCTGATTTGATGGCTCTCTATGGGGTGCCCTGCAGACTCGATTATTTCCACAACCAGTCTGGCTAGCATTGTTCCATGGCGACAATGCTCTACACTTTCAGCTTCTGTTCAGATGGCACAGACTAGTGGAATACATGTACCAGGGAGGGGAGATTGGGCTAAACTTAAAGCCAGTGCCTAATAACCGTCCATCCTTTTTGGGGTTGAGTGACATGGTAGCCCCTGGAATTGAGAAGTAGCGCTGACTTTAAAAAACCCATTCTGCTGAGGGCCATTAAAATACACTATAAGTCTAGGTTGAGATGACGGCATAAAGATACTTCTCAAAACAATTTTTGGGCTAGAAATTCTATAATGAAAATCTTTGTCAATGTACTGAAAAGAGCCGCCCCACCCCCCATAGATTGTTAATCCATGAATTGTTTGATTGTAGAGACCAAAACCTGGCATTCCACACTTGAAAATATCTCAAGCAAATGTCCAATCATCTCAAGGTAATTTTCTTAAAGCAATTTGAGTGCACTAAGCAGTCAGACTTTAGTAAGAAGCAGTCAGTACGTACTATTGAGTCATGAAGTTCCTTTCAACTATATTAATGAGTGCACACACATATCTAAAGCACGCTTACACGATACACGTATTAACCCAATGGCTCAAATATTGTCAGCTTACACACAACATTTTCACACTGGCATTTTAAAAACACATACATACACACACTCACAAAACCGCTGAAGAGATTAATTGGAGTATTCCTGAGAGTCCAAAAATACATCAGAGTACAGAATTTTAAAGAAACAAGGTCAAATAACCGTTTGAAAGAAAAATATTTACATCCATCTTCATTCACAATCAGTGGGAGCCCTACTAAAGCGTGGCCTTGGCGCCTCCATGGCACAGAACAAACCTGGCAGGGTAGAGGACTTCCCGGACGCCCACCACTCCTCCCTAGGGAGTCAAAGAGTGCCTGATTTTAGACCAAAATTTTAGCATCTCATCAATTCCTTAAAAAAAATTTGCTGTGAAAGGCTGCTTTTCTTTCCAAAGTTGATCTTCCACCTTAGAGCTAATCTAAAGAAAAAAATTCCCTTAGAAATTACATTTTCATTCAGGTACACATCATCATATCTCTAACTCTGGGACCTTTCATTGTCTGTGAAGGCAAGTCCTTCTCAACTCAACAGTGCCTGAGAAGTAATGTGACAGACAGTGGCATAAAGTAACTCTGTCAAGTGGAAACTAATATGACATAATTTTGTCCCTTAAAAAAACCATGCTGGGCTACACCTCTGAAAGGCAGCAGGCACAAAGGAACCAGTGTGGTAGGTCACATTCCAGTGTTCTCTTCTGCTTTCAATGGACACCATGAGGTTAAAAACTAAATGCTGATGTTTTTGCCCTGAGAAAGTTATAACCCACCATAAAACTAGAAGGAGTTATTTTAATCATAGAAAACTTGGCTAAACTCTAAAATGAAATATAGCAAAGGAGAAATAATAGAAATATTACTTTTCTCCAGGTAACAGTTCATGAATTTGTTTGAGAACATTTTGGTATTTAATACTGTTTGGGTCAAATAAATTTTTTTTTAAAAAAACCTCACTTGTTTTCTCATTCTAGTTTACCAGCAAATTTTAAAATAAAATAGAAAAAAAAATAGAGAATAGAGAATTCACCTATTATGCCAAAAAAAACCCCTCAATGTGAGTATTCAGAAACTTGAAGATGAGAGGCAAATAATCAAAACCAAGTGTCAGAAGCTTCATACGAAGGGTTAACATATTTTCCAGTATCTTGTGTTTGAGCTTTAGGGTCATTGAAGGTAGTTTTTTTCTTTTTTGGAAAAGCATAGTTTTTTTAAACAGAAGAAATGACCCTCGAAAAAGTTGCATTTTCTGTCATACAATCACTGTCATTGTCTAAAGCACATAGCTAAAGTAAAGCCATTCTTAAAAAAAAAGTCTAAAAATAAAAGCAAATTAAAATCATCAAGTCATCTAAAATATTCAGGAAACTGTAAAAAGACAGTTAAAGGATAATAATTTCTACCTAAGTTCTACCTTAAAAGTAGATGAAATAATTAGGTCAGTTAAAATGAAAACCTTACCTTTTAAGGAGAGTAGGAATTATGAAAACAGGATAGAACTATTTATCAGTGAATTCTCCAAAATGGAAGTATATTTAACTAAATATTAAAACACCCATATTGCAGTACTCTAGTCACAGAATTATATAAGAAACGTGTGTCACTGATGACAATAGAAAACTAGGATTCCAGCAAGCTTAATCCTTATTTCTCAACTCAAAAGACTGATTTGTAAAAACAGTCTCCATTTTTCTGAGGAGAACTGAAAGTACCAGAGGTTGTGCTACATTTTGCATTTCCTATCTGTAGATTCTACAGATCAACAGAAACTTTAGTTCAATTTTCACAATCTCCAGTAAGTTGCTGGTTAAATTATCTCAAATCTTCTTCCAGCTAGGAAAAATATATACCAGTCAAAACTAATTATGCCTGGGCTTTCATTGAAACAACATTTGCTAATTTTACTGGTCTGGATACACTGTTCCAGAAAATATTAATTAAACACATTGAATAATGGCTGCTGTAAATTTCTGAAAACAATAATCTCTAAACAGTTAATTTTCACTTCAGACATATGCACAGAAAGATGGATGAAGCAACTAGCCCAAAGCAGCAGCAAATGACTATTCTTTTGTTACTAAGCATAAGGAGTTGAACTTTGCTCCACTTTGGGGAGCGGAGCCCAGGCTCTGGAAACAACAAGGAGAACAGGACATATTTACCTGGAGGGGAGAGCAAAGAGAAACCTGAAGAATCGCAAAACAAAGTAGTCCGAATGGATTATCTGTGCCTGCAGTCCCCCTTGGCTCCTTCAGCTAGGCCAGCATCTGACAAGCAGTCCTTCTCACGGCAGCCACCCCTGCCTTCCATCTTAGGGACTCACCCAGAAAATTCTCCAACCTGCTCCGCGACTACAAAACTCTTCTAATGCTTTTGAACGCCCACCATTTGTTCTCCATTCATCCAATCAACTTTCCACTGCACATCTTCTCTCTATCGGCGCTCAGACGCGAGGCCACTTCTCATCTGTATGCTAATTATTTTGCCACATGGACAAAAGTAATAATGCTTTCAGACAGGAAACTAACAGGCCTGAAGTCGAAAATGGAAATTAATAAGTTGACACCACTAAACGACAGGGAAGACGGGCATGCGTGCAGCGCTCTGCCTGGTGGAGGAAGGGGAGCCTCCATTGAAAGGCAGCCGCAGACGGAGGTGGGCTGCAAGCCCTGCCTGGCTCTGTGCATCAGGCACAGGCTCCCTCGGAGACCACATTGCCGCAGCAGAACATCAGCAGCGTACTGCTGACTTACCCTGTCTCGGGCGGCATCCTTCAAGCACTATAAAACATATCCATTTCCCCAAATCCTAGTATGGGAGGGAACTTCACCGCTGAGCTAGATATTTTTCAAGTTATAGCTGTGGACTAAACTGGTAATTTCTAACCTTCCTGTTTATTAAGCTTGCAACACAGTCAGACAAGATTGGGGATGCATGCTGTATGCTTCTTACATTGTACCCACAGGCCCCTAAATCTCTGGAGCAGAATGTGTATCATGTGCAGTGCCGTATTTAACGTAATAGATGAGAACAGTAAATACCAGAGTCAGGCTGTTAACAGCTCCTGGCTAGGCAATATATCTAAAAATACCCCCCCCCCCCCATCATTGATGTTATGGTAAATTCGTGCTGTGGCCAAGGAAACCTCACAAAGTCAGCTGAACCTACAATATTTTACATGGTACTACTGCTTAGCATCAAAACAAAACAAGAAGAGGTTTCAGAACCTGCCCTGCCACTTCTTAAAATTGGAGAACAGTTACACAAGAGTTAACTCGAACCGACTCTTAAAATCTCTTTCGGGTTGCCAACCACACTATGTTCTGTTTCAGTAAGAGCTTCTTTGATGATTTTCTTTTAAAACAAAAGACATGGAACTATTTCTTTAAGAAAGTTAAAACATCATCAACCTTTCAGTATTGTTTGAAGAAAAGAAAAATCAAAAAAAGTTTCAGCTGAAAAGGCAAGACCAAATAAGATTTCAAAAATATAAGAGGGAACATAGATATATGACTTTCATTAGCATTTTTCCGGTAAAAAAAAAGTGCTGATTTTATAAATGGCTTCTTGAGTCAAGCAATAAATGTTGTACTCCAGCAGTGACTGTACCATTCCACTCTCCGTAAACCTCTCTCCTGTAACACTCACCGCTATGAAAGGCCACATGGAATCATAAAGGCTACTTAGCGCCTCCCGCCCCTCCCCTGGACACCAGCCTCGGATACACAGACTCCTGGTTAATGACAACTCCGGGCAGCATGCAGACTTATCAGGTGCCCACAATGGCATTACACTGAAGGAGCAGCTCTGTGGGAGAAAGAGTCCATTGTTGGCTCGTCTGGACCCCAAACCAGGGGATTTTAAGAAGTGTTGTAATTTGTCATCAAATAAGAGCTGAAGATAGTCAGGTGGGCAAGGAAACAGCAATTTGTTGAAGTACTAAAGAGATCATGTGAAATAATTCTGAAGAGCTGGAAGTTGCAACAACCGGACAAATCACATGTAACCTTTAAAGAAAAGGAAAGAGGTACCTTTTTGCAGAAGAGTATGTGGCCATCAAGCAAAATCCTGTTCCGCAGTCTGTCTCTCCACACGTACAGGGCTATTGCTGCCATGGAGAAACCATCGCACGTGTTGATCGCATTTCCCTATACGTTTCCACCCCTATCCTCCAGTGCCATCGCTGTCAGCTCACTGTGCTCCGGGAGACTCTAGGGCAGACCACCACCAGTGATAAACCACTGCAGGTTTTCCACAGAACACAATGCTGACTGTGGTTTCTGTGGGGAGGACGGCACACGAGTCTGAAGTTACCAAGAACACCTTACTCTAGCTTTCAAAGGTGATTCCTCCAAACCCCGAGCCTCTGCCTGACGTGCTCAGACCAGAACACTGGTTACTCCAGAGGTTACCATTCCTCTCCCGTGCCGCCCTGCTAGAAACCACTGCAGTCTGAGAGCAAGGAACGCTTCCAGAGAATGTCCTGTGCCATTCTGTCTTCTCACGCACAATACCTCTCCCACTGAAACTGAAATATTTTCCTCCCCCTCCCAACTTTTCCAATAATCACCACGTGGGGAGTAGGAATTTTTAAAAGAGATACATTTTAGGGAAAATTTTCTAAAGAAGAGCCTAATACAGCGATGCTTATCAGGACTTCTTCACATAATAAATAAGCGCTTATGCATTCTTTCCAGTTTTATAACACCTGGCTTACATTTTCTCTGCCATCTCTGATTACTTCTACAGATACCCTGAGGACTCATTATGATGTCAAAGCTTAAAACAGTTTCATTGTGAAAACAGGCATAGAAAAATCATTGTGTATGCTTGAACAATGCAGGTGTGAAAGAGACACAGAGAGAAGAGAGGGAGGCAAAAAGAGACAAACAGGGACAGAGTTAGAGAGAGAGGACAGAAGAGAGAGAGAGAGGGAGAGAAGGAGAGAGAGAGAGATAAAGAGAGAGAGGGAGGGAGAGAGAGAGGAGACAGGACACAAAGCGTGCTCCACACTGAAACCATGTTGCACTGAAAAACAGCTCACTGACGGAAAGTATATAGCTGCTGCCTTCAAATAATCTGATATCAGAAAAATTATGCAATCAACTACTACAGAACTATTTAGTGTTATTCTTTGCACAAGTTATGGTTTATAGAGGGAGTATTTCAATTTGCGGGTATGCCACTTTCAAATATCTTTTTTTTTTTTTTTTGTATCAGCCACACATGATATTTGGATGTGATTTACCCCCTACCACTTCAGAATAAATTTTTAAAAATTATATATATTTTTTTCTTCTTTAAGTTTGTGGTATCTTTTCTCTTTAGTTTAGTTTGGAATAAGTATAGATGAATGTCAGGTATAGTGTTGTGGTAAAGAATATAGTATAATGAAACTTAGCCTGGTGAAAAATGTTAATCATTTTCAAGTTTTTCTTCAAGTTTATCCTCTATTATGTTTTTCCAAGGAAGGCTGCACATTTTCCCAAAGAAAACAAAAAGAAGACATTCATGAAACAGGCTCTTAAAAACTTGAAAATAAGAAAATGAACAACAAAGTTATGCTATCAATACTATCGCAATCAAATTACGATATGGGGTGATTTGATTATAAGAATTTAGCAAAACTGAAGATTTCTCTTTCTGAATCTGCCATTCAATTGCTTCCTGGACAGAGTTCTGGTGAGACTTTGCATCAAGGTAGCCTTTATGGCAAAGTACTAGATGCATTTGAAAAACTGGTTATTGATTGGAAATTGTAGCCCTGGACTCAAGGAGACACTCAGCTGAGCCACACTTCAATGTCAGGGCAGGGTGGTCATTACCGAAAAGCATCCTGCTATTCCCTCTTGTTCCACTGAATGGGTTTCTTAATAGAAAATATTTAAGAGCAAATAAAATTTTAAGTTGTTTGAAGTTAAAAATATAGCCATCAAAATGTATAATAAGTAAACAAAATATTTTATATAATATAATATGTTTTTGAAAACAATGCCTCTCCCTCAAATTAGACTGCCCTACAGATAGACTTGGAAATCTAGTTTCTATATGTGACTTTGAAAATATTATTTAGGCAATAAAATGAATTTTTCACAGAGAAGTGATTGAATTTTTTTTATCACACATGTGAAATATTTCTAAAAGTAAATCAACAAATAATCAGATTATTAACTCTCAACTTTGAATTTTAAGTACAGTTTTAACAAATACAAAAACTTTCAAAAGCTTTGAAGTCGCAAAATAACTTATTTTCCCTAATGTATTGAACGTTGACATAGAAAATGACATAAAATATCAGACAGTGAAATAATCAGGCATATTCAGTAGCAAGGTATGAAATAAAAACATTTTCAAGAGAGTAAAAAATAATCGTCAGGTGAAAAATATACTAGGAATAATGCAAACAATACATTGAAGAGGCTCATTCTCTGGAAATGCCCACATTTTCCTAAAATTAGGCTTATATTGCTTTTATAATCCAAAAAGAAATATGTACTCATATTCCTTTAGGAATTTTTGTACACCACACCTACATGATCACAAATTATTAGGCCTTCAACCTTGATCTCAGCTTCTAACACAGATTTGTAAAATTGGCCTAAGTTTTGCTGGAGGATGCAAGTTTAACTCAAGAGAAGTTGAAATTTATGTTTCACGTATACTTTCTGCCTTACTGGTTCATCTTGGTAATCCTGGCTCATCTTTTCAAAAATGAAATTTTATCAATAATTACATAAATTTCCTTTATATAAAGATTTCAATTAAAAAAGAATGTCCACATAGTGTTTACAGTTTTTCAACTCACGCTTACTTATATGCAAGTAATTCTAATGAAATTCTATGTTTGGTAATTTGGAAAGTAGGCTAAATTTTTTTGTGTGCAAAATAAAGATATAGAGATTGCATATCTTTTCTTCCACCATCTTCAAAACATCCAATTGTGACCATAAGGGCTGCTTCTACTTCTACCTTGATGAGTACAATCATTAAGGTGATGAAAGTGAGCCATTTTCACATTGCCAGTAAACTAGTAGGAAGTCAAGTCACTGCTGAATGTAATTGCTATCAGCAGCGGACAGCTCCCGGTGCTGAAAGGCAAAGGGAGAGAAGCCTTGCTCACAATGGCTCACTCAAGCAGCCTTTGAAAAACCACAGCAAAACTGAAAGAGGTGGCAAGTGCTCAGGCTGAATAGCACTGTCGACAGAACAATGGCAGCCAACTCCAAATCCTACTATAATCACATTAATGAGATTAATCAGTGAATTAGCAGCAGTCAAATGTCAGGGAGGCAAGGAAGAATCCAAGCAAGATTGGTAATTAACTTTTTTGGGGGGGCAGGGAAAAAATCAACTGTGCTACCTCCTAGGTTTCTTAGAAGTTGGCCATTTGCTTTACAAATCTGAAAACTATATGTACTGATCAAAAGGCAACAGCATAATCCATCATATTATAATATAGATCCAGGTATCACATTACTGATGCTTAAACTGTAGTCCTCTGAGAAAAGTGATGTCACTTTAAATAATCTTCATAAATGATCTGGCTTTTGTTGTTTTGAACTTTGTAAGTGTGAAACTAATATTTAGAAAGAAATTATTTCTCTAATACTGAAGCTAAAATATAAACAAAGTATGGCTGATTAAAAAAGGAAGGATTATATAACAGCTGCTATTGTTTATGAGAAGTCTAGCATACCGTGGCAAGAGTTTTAAAAAGTGCCATCAAGTAAAGAACTATTATACAAATATATAATCCATGGTCTGTTGTCTTTAATAAGGAAAATTTGTTACTACAGTACAACTTTAAGGAGAATTTTAACTAATTGACTTATTGCACTTGAGGCAATAGAATCATACACTTTCCTTTAAGTCAATTAGAAAAAACAAACTTCCTTTTTTCTGGAATGTGTAACTTAGTAGCATGGATAATATACAATCAACACTTTGGATTCAAAGTTCCTAAGAGGTGAAAACTTACAGAAATGCAATGGAATTGCTTTTCAAAAAAGAATATTGGGCAAAAACATATTTTATTCTTAAAATAATCACAGTTTTATTTGTATGGAGACATGTCTTTATTTATCATTTAGAAAACTACACAACTTTTATGAAGTTGAACAATTAGAGAGACTTCCTTCTGCCTGTAAGGGTGCAGTAGGGTGCTTTTGTCTACGAAGTGAATTTTGTTCAGTAAATATACAAACACAAACAGAAAAGCTCTTATTATGAAAAATATTTTTACTCTAAGTAAATAAATAACTTAGAATTCTATGGATTATATAGTTTTAGTGGTATGAAAAATTGTCATGACTAAATTAATGCTAAATTCAAAATGAGTGCTGTA